AGGCTGACTCACGTCCCAAGTGCTTTTCCGCCGTTTGTCCCAGAGCCATGACCCAAATGGCTCCTGCAGATGCGCAAGCGAATTCGAAGTTTGCCGCACGCGACGTTGCTCGGTCCTGCAGGCATTCCCATTGAAGCGACACCTTTGAAAGCCTGGGACTAAATAGCCAATAACTGTTGATTTCCTACAAGCAAGCTAAAAGGGGATGGATCATTTGCTTGTTTCCCCCAGCCCCCATTCAGAGCCCTGCCTTGAGGGTTCCACACTTACAACGCGTGCTTTGCTCCTAGAACAATTGGTTACCTGTTTCTACCTTTCGGGTCACTTGCACCTGGGTTTTGGCGCTGCCATTATGAGAGGTTTGTGGCGCTGCCATTGTGAAAACCTCCAAGCGAAGATCATGCGTTTCCAGGTTTTGAGGTACGGCGAAGTTCCATATCAAAAAACAATGGTTTCAACCAGGGTTTCTTAGGTGGTGAGTATTGCAAGTTGCGTTGCCCGGCTGATTTGGAGGACCCCCGTTTTTTTTTTGGGGGGGGGGGGGGCGGGGTGGATTTGGGTTATGCTTCCTCGAGAATCTGAGTATCACCTGCATGAAGCGCTCCTTCGGAAGACATTCTCATGGAATATGAACCCGGATTCAATGTATCGCTGGCTGAGTAGGGTGAAATCTCTCTCGGGCCAAGGACCTGGAAGAGGGGCGAACACTAGATCGAACCCAGTGAGATCAAATGCTCAAAGGGTTGGCTGTCTCACGTGCTGGGAGCCGGAAGTAGTCCAAATGAGTCGAAATCTTTCAAATGGCCTACGAAGGAAGCAGCTTCCTGCAGGGGCATCAACCTTGAAATGTCATGTTTGGTTTCCTTTCCCCTTGGTGAAGCCTAGATCAACCCGAAACAAAATTGGAACATAAGGCTATACTCAATTGGTCGTTTGCACCGCGATGTGGTCCCCCAAACAATCAAAACACCAATCCAAACAAACCAGTTAAGGGCAAGCTAAGAATAATTAGCCGAGACTGCCAACATCGTGCTGAGCGTGCTTCTGCTCTCCGTGTTCATGGGTGGTTCCTACATCTGGCTGTCGGCATCCAGCGACAGCTACCAGTGCAACAAAGCCATGTGCCTCACTTGCAGGTGACACAAAGCGAATGCAGAGCTTCCCCTTTTAGCCACTATGGCCGGAACAGCTGACTTCGAAGTTACAGCTGGTCAACCTTCTAGATTGCATGTTGGACTCCGGCATGTCTTTTTCAGCTATATATCCTCACCTGGAGGACCTTTTACACAAAGAGGTGCTCCGGACCGCTTTTGGCATTCGAGCACTTTTTGAGTTTGCCCAGCTGCTTTTGTAAAGTGCTCGAGAAAACGAACCCGCAACTCGGGCGCAATTCCAAAAGTGTGCAAAGCCAAAGCTTTGCTCCGGAATCCGTGTGTTTGCACGTGTTTGCCATCACCCGCGCACTTATTTGCCACGAAAGCTCGAGCAAACATTTGTGTATGAATGGGTCCTGCAGGCATGTTGCATTTCGCGTGTTCGAACCAATGCCTTCCTCCAAATCATGTCGCTCGCCCATTTTCAAGAATCAGGGAAGTGTGCGGAATATCTTGAGCAGACTACCGTCATTTCGAAACAGGCCTTCCTGCCATGACCTTATACGGGGGGGGGGGGAAGTAGGCCATACTCAGAAGACACTGGGACACCTTCACACCCGCCAGAAGGATCGAAGAACCTTTCGGTCAGCTTGGGGCCATTGGTTGCTTCCCCTGGGGTGCAGAAAAAGAGCCTCAGGCCTAGTCATCGCCATGGAACCAGTGGTTTCACGGCTTTTTGTAGGTCCGATGTGGTGGTCAAGTGGTACAACCTGTCGATGGCTTTGGGGCTCCTTGGCATCAAAACCCTGATCGGTTTCTCGATGTGCTGTGATCAGGTAGCTTCAAAGGCGGCGATGGGATGAGGGCTTTGGCTATTGCCTGTTCAAGCCCTTTCGGGCCGGGCTAAATAACTTGCTGGTTCTCAGGCGGGAATGGGGGAATGACCGACCTCAAACTGAAGCTTTACTTGCGGCCTTTTCAAGGGAATCCAGGTTTATTCTCAAAGCCCTTGTGATGCTCTGAGAACCAGCAATAAGTTCCTTGAGATTACTTGGACAGTGTTTCCTTCTTCGGATTATTTACCGCGGGTGTCGGGCAGAGGCAACAAGTGCTTGGTTTGTGTTCCTTAAAGCCGGCTGATGACCCTGCCAGCAGCTTGGCAGTCATTCTTGTTGGCGCTGATGAAGCAGGTCATGCCATGAGGATGCTGGACACTGACTTGTCTATGCTCAATGTTTCCTTATGACACCTCTAGGGCTCACGCACGTGGTGTGCGCCACGAGCACCCCACATTCCCATTCAGGGAAAGGACAGCGCAGGATGCTTTTCGCTTGTTGCCAACATGCGATTGACTGATTTTTTTCGGAAGTCCCTGTTCAGCAGCAGCAGCCGCCCGCTTCACCTTCTTCTCCAATGATTTTTGTTGATAGGAAGGGCCAACAAAAACAACAGCAACATCCAGTTTTCGCGATGTGCCGACTGGGCAATGACGGTTTGGGACGTGTACTTTACCGCGAAATTGCCCAACCTTCAATGTGGATCAACATGGCGTACTCTTTTAGATGGTTGCCCTTCGCTAAAATGATGGTGGAAATTGGAAACGAATTCAACACTATTCAATACCAGTAAGGCTTGGCGCTAGACAAGCAACAGCCGGCAGCCAACAGCCAACCCCCTTTTGGCTGTTTGCTCACATTCTCCTCTTTATGGCGTTCACGGTCCGGGATAGCGTTGTTTTGCTCATATATGTCCAAATTGGTTGCTTTGCAAACAAAAGTCCACCATGTGAAGGTTATGACCTCCTGTGATGGAAAACTCGCGGGCGTGAGGGACCGAATTGTGACCCTTTCTTGCCCTTTCTATTTGAACACACCTTTGGACCACCTGGCATCATCACAGGTCAGCCAGCCTGATCCTCTGGCACTACCTGGATACTGATCCCTTCAAGGCAGGCCCACAAAAGCATGTTGCTAGATAGCCTATTGTTGTTACCATTGACGTTCCAAAAGGAAGCCAACGGGGATGTTACCGGGATCTTGCTGAAATCTCATAAACCACCATCGGCACTGTTTCGAGCATCTTCGGGTGTCCCTTTAACGCCATTCCATAGCCGGTAATGTCGGTTTTCCTCAGAAGGAGTCGATGGCGTTTTGGTTTTGCTTCCATTTAAAGGAGTTGAAAGCAACTGATTCTTCAACTCCATGTGTATGAACCTCTTCTCTTGGGCAAGCCTGATGTAATATTTGTTTTCAATCAGGATGTTGGCCCCCATCAAACTTGGCTTGCTCTGTTTGGCTTCCAGTCAAACGCTCCCAAACGGGACCTCAAACAAAGACAAACCTATACCTGATGGTGTGAACTTATGAATCGAATGTGTTTTTGCTCTGTCACAAGGGCATACCCTTGCTTGCAATGGCAACAGTTTGAAAAGCAGATCTGGTGTGCAATGCGCAAACAACGTGGACCCTGGGCAATGATGCAACAATGGTACCCTTGCGTCTTGGTGTCACTGCCCAACTGGGCATGAGGCAGATGATTGTATTGTGTGGGACACAATTCGAACATGGTCTTTGGAGCAGCCCTGCAAAAGGGGAACAGCCACACTAAAACCAACAGAACTACAACAAAGAAGGAACAATTGAAAAGGGGAATCCTCTAAACAGTCAGAAGGTCCTCCAACACGGGAATTCCTCAACGGGCCCCCGATGCACGCTTTGCTTGTCAGGTCCGCTACGTCGTTTACGGTCGCCCGGAGATTGCCCCAGTGCAGCGGGACTTTCTTCACATCCAGCGCCTCGCTCAGACGGTCGCAGTTTGTTTCGAAATGGCTGGGGTCATTTTGACTGTTTCTGGGGGTTATCAAAGTCAGAAAATGTGGTTGTTTCCTTTTTATCCCACCATTTAGGGAGTGACTTTGATCATGGAAAACAATGAGGCCAGAATGAGTGCTGCTGGTTAGTATCCCCCGTCCCTCCCCCCCAAAGATTGTCAAGGTCCCCCAAAAACTGAATTTTGGAGCGTGCCCCTGCACCTGTTGGGATGAATGAAGCACAGGCAAAGATGGGACAAACAACCAATTTCAACTGGTGCAAGACTTGGTCCATCCACAGTAGGTTGGTTGCAGCATGGGTTTAAGTGGATATGTTTTGTTTGCTGATTTAGATGATTCCTTTGTAGAGCAGTTGATTTTAGAATGCCTCCCGTAAGGAATCCTGAATGGCTGGGAAATGGCCAATTGCTAAGAGGATGGCTCTCCTCTCGCCATTGCCGGCTGTAGCCTCCAAAACTCCATGTTTGAAAGTTAAGCCGTGTACCAGGCAGTACCCCATTCCAGCTTCTCTAGCAGTTGATTCCCTATTTGTTTAATCATTGTTCTTTTCAAAAACCGGCTGTTTCCCCTGTGTTTTTGATGGTTTCCTGAAAAGAAGGATTCCTGGAAAGAATGGGGAAGGTACCCCTAGAACTTCCAAACCTGGCCAACTCCAAAACTCAATGCCTTCCTCTTTTCCTGGTGTCACTGGCCAACAACACACCAGCAAATGTTCTGGTGCATGGCAACATGACTTATCTTACCTCATCAACATGACTTGCTTTGGTTTTAGAGTACCCGTCTCCCCCATTCGAATTCTGTTCATGAAGGCTCTTCAAGAAACGCACCAGTACCCTCCCACTAACATTGAACCTGATTCGGGGCTTTGCCTGAGTTTAATGATGGACGGGACTGCAAATGTTAAGCTGCATGGTAAACTCCCTGGTCCTCAGCCCGCAGGGAATCATATAAGAAGAAAACACCCCCCCCCGGTAGTTTCTTGTGGTTCTTCAGGTTCTTTCCAAGCTTTTTGTGGGAAGCAGGGAGTTGCTAACCTTCGGGTTTTCTCTTCTCTGCATCTGTTGATGGTACATTCACATCTGATCTCACTCCAAGTGCTTTGTTTGCTCTTGCAGCTGCTATTGCAAAAACCGAGAACTCTCCTCATGCCCTCGGATGTTGCATCTGGCGAAGGCGAATGTCCACCTTCACAGTTTGGAGCAACATCACCTCCAGCCTCTTCTTCTGCTGCTCCGCTGTGCTGGGCTTCCTGGGCCACGAGAGAGCGCCCCCCGCGCTTTGCACCGCCCCTCGGACTTCGAGGAGCGAAACCAAAGGGGTCTGTGAGGTTTCTTTAAATGTTGCCTAGCAAACCTCAGCATACAACAAACCAATTTTCAGCTTCTGCAGATGTAACAGACGAAGCTGCAGATGTAACACTTTGTTGGTGTGCCCTCAGGTCTGGCCAAGTGGGTGGTTCTTGTTTTTGGTGTTCTTCAAAGCTTCAGAGTTGGTTGGTATGCGGAAAATGTTGCCCAATTGTTAAGCCGTGCCAACAGCCGGCTCCAACATTTGATTCTCCCAGTTGGCTTTTCCCAACGTGTGTGTGTGTGTGTGTGTGTTTTCCCGTCTTGCTGCCCGTCCCAGCAATCCCCTAATCCGTTTGTCAGGAAACCTGTGGGGATCGCCAGGTCGGTGTCACGCGTGCTTCTTTGCGAGCCTTGCTCAAAAGTCCCATAGCTTGAGCTTTTGGTTTCATGCTTGGAATCCATCCCACTGGGCGCGACCGTTGGGAAAACCTGGCAAGTTGGGAAGTGGGAGTAAAGGATCAGAGCCAACCGAGCCCTGAGAACATGCCCGGCCGGGGGGCAGTACCTTGCCAGAAATAGGCGACGTTTTGCCCTTTAGAATTGATTTCCCTGCTTCGTGCTTTGGGCAGGTGCGTGAGCTGTGATTCGATGATTCGGTGTGAATGCCAGCACCTTTGGGACCATTTTGGCTCAAGCCAACATGCTTTGCTGATGACTTTTGGATGGATCCCTTTGATTGCAGATTCTCATCAAAACGCAGCTGAGGATGGCAAAGGGGCCACTCTGGTTAACCTTGTTTAATTCTGTTTCCTGTGGCTGCAAGTGAGATAAACAGCCTTTCTGAATGGATGCGTCTAAAAACTACCTGATGGATGAGGGGATCCTCTGAATCAGCCGGCAAAGGTGATTGGTTCATTGTTTCAGCTGGCATCCTTTTTCCTGATAAACGGGCGTGTCTCGAGTGGCGCTTGCGGCCGGTTTCCGGCAAGGCCAACCAAGTGCTGTGGGAGCTCACGTTTCCCCTGGCCTTCTTCGTGCAGCTTGGGCGCGTTTGCGTGGGATCCAGCCGAGGCATTCAAGACCGTGTGATGCGATTTCGCGGTATGGAGCCAGCTTCTCAAAATGGTACACCCCTTTTTGGAAGGCTTTAAAGGAACACCAGCAGGAGACCACCCAGTTTTTCAGGGGTCTGTTCTGAGAAACCCTCATATATGGGTGTCTTCAGTACCCCTGTACAGGGGTCCCTTTTCGTCGGGAGAACCAGGTGAAGCCACCAATGTTGCGGTTTACTGCTGGCGACCAAGTGTTCGTATAGCATACCTGGGCTGTTAAAGTGAGCATTGCAAGAGGTCTTCTTTTTTGTGGAGTGGTGTCCCTTTTGCAGCACCATGTAAGGGTAGTTGTTAGGATGTCATTTTGATGGATGATAAATAACAATGTGCTTTGCCCCGCATGAGTTGCGGATGGTGAATCCTTGGAAGGTCGTCATACGGAATGAGAGCACCAACCAATGTTATAATATGGTTGTGCGACAAAACATGTGTTTGAGAGCTTGTACTTGGGCACGGCATACGTATGTGACTTTCATGTGAGGCTTGCTCAAGAACAAAGGGTCCTAATTTGGGACTGACTGAGAAGACGGGCCACAAAAGGATTGCGCAAAATGAAGGATTACTCCTTTCATGCGCGACGGTCGCTTTAGGAACATCGTCGTGACCTTTGTGCTCATCCCCAGCATCAAGAAAATGCGCACCGTGGCAATGTACAAAGGCAATGTTTGAGGCTTCTTCGACAGGAGTATTCTGGCCAACCATGAGAACAAAGCACGTGTGCGAGCTCATTCAAAGACTCCTTCTCATTCGTGCTGCCTGGACGGATGACTCACCAGGTTTCTTTTCGGAAGTCAACTGTATGTTTGTTTTCAAACGGGCCAGCATTGGACCCAGAAAATTGGACCCAGCTGATATGGCCCCAATATTAGCTGAACATATGGCTTCCCACGTCATCAACCCCAAGAATTGTGGATAATATGGGTCCTAACTTTCTGGGGTGTTTGGTCCCATTGATTTGTGGCTGTGTCGGTGCGCTGTTTGCTTGAGGCGACATGGACAAGTTGGACCGCATCCTGCGGCTTAGGCCCCAGGCGCTGGATGCGTGCAGCGGAAAGCCCTTGAATTGAAGCCGTGGCTTCCTTATGGCTCATCCTGAGTTCCTGGACTGTATACTTTTTAGGGAAGACCATTTTAGTGGTAAATAGAAAGACCTTTTTGTTTTTTGGCCATCCACTCGGGGAGTGAGACGAGCGTGCCCTTTTTCGAGGGGGGCCATTTTTGGGGGGTGAAGGGAAGTCAAACAAACAGGCTACCCATTTCAAACAGGGGGTGGGTTGAACCGGGTCAACTCACAAGAGCTTCTTTTGCCTACCAGGGCCACTGGGCAAGCGGGTAAAGTTCTTAATGCCAAGAACTTGGCCCATGGCGCATTGCAGGCCGTGTGAAATTGCGCGAATCTGAGACTCCATCATGAAAGGTCAGCGGCGTCTAAACATAGAATTTCTCGCTGGTTCTGGCACTTTGTTCAAATTGAGCTCCCAAATTGTCCGGGAAGACTACCGGGCAGCCGCGCATTTGCGCGCTTTTTGCAGCCAGAATCGCCTGGCCCCCACTCGAAGGGTCACTCGGCTTGCAATTGCCCGTTGCCGGCGTGCCAGCTGCTTCACAATGGCCTGGCCCTGGCAGCGGCCATGGAAGCCGTGCTGCTTGGCGATTCTGGGGGGGGTTGGTGAGGGGGGGGGACGAGGGCTAGGGCGAGGGCAGTCTCAGATGGGCTTTGTGGCTCGGACTTTTTTGGCAATTTTAGGGGCAAACTAAAAGTGTTGAGCTTTTGGGCCAGTACACTCAGGCGCTGTATGCGGATGCTTTTTGAGGGTGCCACTCTTATTTTTGGTTTTCAAGGGAAACCAAAAGCGAATCCGCCATGACGGGGGGTCTGCCTATTTTCATACATACCCAGAATGAATCAACCTTGATAGCTATGGCATAATAGACCCCAAAGTCAATGGGTTTCGGGCGCTTCTTTGCGCGAACAGGGGGGGCAACTGGCCGCCGCTGCTGTGGCTTGACCTACCATGATGGTCAACCCGCGTAGTAGGTTGCAACATGTTGTAAACATGATTGTACTGGATGTAAGTGGGGTTAGCCCGTTTGTCCCTAATGCTAAGCATAATTGCGGCTAAGTGGCATGAACATCCAAGTAACTACCCCCCCCCCCATATCTCCCGCTGTTCCCGAAAATAAGACCCGAAACAAGGCGTCATGAAGTGCTTGCTTGGAGAAAGCGCGGAAGAGAAACCAATCAACGGCCAAGAGTGTACGCTTTCACTAAAGCACAATTGAGGGCACAAAAAATAGGGTAATTAGTTCAAAAAAGGGGCTTAAAAGGGGCTCAAAAAAGGGGTTTAAAAACGGGTTGAAAAAATGTAAAAAAGGTTTTCTTTGGCAAAGCTTGCAGAAACGAACGAGGGGGCAAAGACTGCGCATATTGAGGGGTCGTTTTTAGCGCGTTTTGAGGAGTGCCGAATGCGTGCCGAATGCTACCCTTCAAGAGGTGGCCTGGGGGAAACATGACTACCATGATATGACAATTATCATGTTCTGCACTCGCCAGGGTTGGGCGCTTTTCCCGAGCCTGGCCTGCTTTGAGGCTCGCTGCTCCCCCGCTGGCGATTGCCCACTTCCCTGTGCTAGCTTCTTGGCTTAGTATCCCCCGAGCCATCTTGGTTTGGTCTTTGGTACGGCCTTTATCCTTTTGAACTGTTCTTTTTAGCAAAAGGCTTAAGCTTGTGCAGGGTGTCTAAGACCAACCAAGCAACCAAGACCCAGATAAGTGAAGGTGGGAAAGGGGCAGTCCCAACCGCAAATAGGTGCAGCCGCCCTTTTATTGCTTCGCATGGTTTTGCCCTTGGGTGAGAATCTCGACACCTAATTCATCTATGGCCCCCTTGGGCAGCTTCCACCCGGTCAGAGATCCAACAGTCAGAAGTTGGAGGGCTAAACAGATCATAGATGGGAATGAAGGCTTCCCACTTCTGTGATACCATGGAGGAGTAGTCAGTCTTTGCTTGACTCATGCCCAGAGCGTGTGTGCTGGCTGACTTATGGCAAGGCCTGCATAAGGATCGTAAGCATGCATTGAAAGTTTTTTTTGGTCGGGGGCAGCAGTCATTGCATACTCAATGGGACATGTTTTGCATTTGTAAGCGCTGCGGGCGGACCCAGGATTCAATAGTTCCCAATAGTTTTGATCAGAGTTCGTTATCATTTTTGGGGCTGACTGGGTCAGTGTCCCCGATCGTGTTGGTTTGTACGGGTGGGTGAAAGTGGATGGTGTAAACATTTTCCTCTTGGCATTTTGGGGCTAGTGGAATCTGCCCCAAGCGGGTCAGTTGTTGAATTGGATTTGACCAGATCAGCTTTTGTTGGTCCGACAGGCAATCATCTTTTGTATGTCCAGCTGCCTTGCCCTTTCTTTTCGTACATTTGCATGAAAGCAGATGGCTCAACCTCCCCATTTGTGTTTGATCGTGCCCTAGACCTATAGGGCCGTCTATTAGTTCAGCTCAATTTCAGATCCTTTGATCCGATGTTTGGAAACGGCTCACGAAGGCGCTCCCAACTTGCAAGGCTTTGAAAGCGAACAAGGAACCAAAGGCAGGTTTCTCTATGAATTGTGGCATAGTTTCAGGGGCAAACCCCGTTTTCTTTTGCTGAAGTGGGGCTTCCTTTAAACTGAACGTCGAACAAGCACCATGTTCTTGCTTTTCGATGGCCATGGGAGGTCTGGGTGGAGCGGCCCATGTGTTCCTTGGTGGTTTGAGCCTAGTGGATGCCCCCTCAAAGGGGTGTCAACCTGATTTTCAGAGAATGCACGAGGTCCTTTTTGGCACCGTGTACGTGGTCTTCTCATGGTACATGGCGCAGAATTGGTGCAGAGTTGGCAGTTGGGAGAAGTTTGCTGCGGTTTAGCAGGTTTCCTTGCTCGCTCGCTCGTGTTTGTTTGCTTGGTTTGTTTGTCGGCTTTGCTTGCCTTGCTTGCCTTGCTTGCCTTGCTTGCCTGGCTTGCCTGTCAATCGCGTAGGTGATTTGCTGACATACCAAGATTTGGGGAGGCAAGCGGCGGCGCGCACGGATTAAAGTGCATTTACTGCATGTCTCCGGCCAAGACTTTGACTTACCCCCCCCCCTCCCCCCCCCCTCCCCCCCCTGCCGCATAGTATAATATACTGTGTATACATCAGCCATGTTTGCCTGTGGGTGTGGCTTGGTAGTGAGAACATGTGAGAACCCTTTTGATTTGCGCCAGCACGCGGGTTCGTTCGCCTTCTATGTAAGGAGGATGCTGGCATATGTGCGGAACGTTAAACTGTACCATTCAGAGGGACAAGTCGTGGCAAGTCATGATTGGGGAGGCTGTGGCAGCCATGGGGAGCATCAAAGAGGGTACGGGTTTTCTCTTATTAGCTGTTTTAGTTCCAGTTGTTTTTTGGGTAGGGATGACAATGAAGAGGTTCTGGCTGGCTCCCAACTTCTGCAGCGGCACCGTTGCTGCTCCCTTGTTATTGGAATCGTTCCCTTTCTCCACAAGACTCGTCAGGTTGGGAGGAGCAGAATGCCATGTTTTGATAACCCCAAGGTAGACTTAAACTTAGGGGTGGGCTGAAGCTGTTTGCAGAACCAACAGGAGGTCGTTGAAACCATAGAAGTTTCAGCATTGACCAGATTCATGTACCCTTGGGTGGAGGGAGAGGGAATGGGGAGCCCCATTTTCAGGGCCTTCTTAAGCTCCCTCCTCCCCTCCCCTCCTCCCCCCCTCCCCTCCCCTCCTCCCCCCCTCCCCTCCCCTTCCCCCCCCCCTCCCCCCCTCCTCCCCTCCCTCCCCAGGCCCCATGAGAGATCTAACTGAAACCTGACCGCAACCCTTCCCGCCGCAGCTCACAGTGCCGGAGCGCCCAACGGAAGGCGCTCAGCGGACAGAACCAGGCGGGCCGTGCGCCCGAGGGTGTTGGCTTTTCGACTCAGCTTGGGGGTGGGGCATTTTCAGGTGAACCCAACCAAGGCAGGGTGCCAAGTTTTTGTTTCTCATGAAAATCCACTGGGGGTTTGGGGTGAATCTCAGGCCCATTTGCAGTTGATGTTTAGAGGATCTAATTGTAAAGCAGGTGGTTGTTGGAGGTAGGTATCCTTGAGGCAGAACCCCTTGTAACTGGAGGTAGTTCCCGAATAACCATGATGGTTCTCACCTATCTACTACAGTGGGGTGAAAGTAGATGTCACAGTTGATGTCACAGCTCCCCCGTGTTGGTTTTATTTGCTTGTTGCCACCTACTTTCACTCTGGTGTATGTTTGATTTACTTGGTTGGGCGTGCCCTGACATAGGGCGCTGAGGGCTTAGGTGAAGTCATGACCTAAGGGACTATGGGCTAGATGTCAAGCTCCAGCACTAGAATGTCATCATGGATCATTGGTTGCCCCCGCGCAGGCTTGATCAATGCGCTGAAATTGGCAATGTGCGGTTGCGTTGCCCCTTCTCAAGTGCATCAAAGGCGACTGACAGCAGACGCCATGTTTTTGGGCATCAATTGTTCCAGTAACTCATAGCCATTGTAATTCACTTCAACTGGCGCGTGCTGGCTGGGTGGGAAGTGTCATGCCCCAGCACGTCCCAGAACCTGCTTGGTTTCCAACCGGCCTTCTGGCGCGTCTTTGGCACGGCTTCATTTGGGAATTAGTTTTCTGTAGCGTGGTTCTGTGTCCATTTTGACACCGATCGGTTTTCATTCTTGATTTGTCCAAATCAAAAAGGTCAGGGTTGTGGGATGAACAGGTTTATCCCCACTTCTGTAATACTTTAGGGAATCCCCCCTTTTTACGGAGTCTTTTCTTTTTACGGGTGTGCCTTAAGCCCTCCCCTCTTATGGGTGAGGCTTAAGCCGGCCCTTTCTCTATCACAGGCCAGTGACTTCCGTTTCTGCCACCCTGGAGCTGAGCCAACTAGAGATAGGCCGTCAATTCCAGGTCTGATTCAGCACCTGAGAAATGAAAGTCTTTCCGGGTTGCGGGGGGTTGCGAGTATGGTCAAAAGGCTGAGACTTGAGTGGTAGGGAAGCACCTCGCCTCCATGTCTGACTTTCTTAGAATTTCCAGCAAGCGTCGAACAAAAATCTGACCCCGGCAGCACCCAGCCGAGTGGAGCGGATGGCACCGAAGCGGCCAGGCGCCATGGAGGCCCCGAAGCGGCCACTCTTCGGCCTGGTCGGCGCCTTCCGGGCGGCCGCGCGGCCCCTGGTGCCCGGCAGACCCCGAGGCGCGACTCGAATGCCATGCCCGGTCGAGTCGAGTCGAGTCGAAGCCGGGGGAGGAGTTCGGTTTGGGCTCGTCGTTGTGGTTTCGGCTTGGCACCTGCGTTTGGTTAACGTTTGAAAAGCTTAGCGTTAACCCGAACGGCGAAACGTGACACGTAGCGCTTCGACACGTGTTTCGGAACGTATGCCCGAAACGTAATCATTTTGATAGGGCCAGCAAGCAAAGCCAAGAATTTCGAAACGCGAAACGCAGAATCGTAGGATTTTTTTCAAAACGTGGCTTTGGGGTCCTGTAGGTGGAGCCCAATAAGATATGCACCCAAGCAAAGGGACCCTCACAAACTGCACCCCAAAGCCAGTTTTGAACCACCCTGAAGAGCAGAAGGTTGCAGAGTTCTTGGTTTGGGAAGCGAAGGGCATGTACAAGAGCTTGGTATCACATCTGAATGCGGTGCGCTTGCGAGAACAGCAGAAGCATGCCTTGGCCCTTGCACCCGAAGATCGTCAGCCGAAGGTTATAAAGCCAAGATTCGCTGTCCGATCCTTCAGCAAAACACACTCTTAGACAAAGCGACTCTGAAAAATGCCCCTAAGCAAGGGGACCCTTAACAAGTGCCCCAAAATCAGTTTTAAACCCCCGAAACTGGATTTGGGGGGGTGGTTTTGGTGGAACGGTGGAACAACAAAGGGGTGACCCTTAACAAGTGCCCCAAAATCAGTTTTAAACCACAGAAACTGGATTTGGGGGGTGGTTTTGGTAGAACGGTGGAACCCAATGAGATATGCACCAAAGCAAAGGGGTGACCCTTAACAAGTGCCCCCAAAATCAGTTTTAAACCCCCGAAACTGGATTTGGGTTGGGGTCTTTGGTGGAACCCTGCAAGAGATGCAGGTGGGAAACCAGTTTTACACCCCCGAACCCAGTAAAATATATTCCAAACACAAACCCCTTTAGTAGTAGCTCATGTTCTACCAAAACGTGGGTTTAAAAAACGCAAGTTCTTAAAACGTAAGTTGCGAGTTTCGAAACGCGAGTTTCGGGCGCGCTGAGTTGAAAAGGAAACCAACAGGACACCATTTCTTTTTTTTTGGGGAGGGATGTCCTCTTTTCTTTTAGGGGCGGGGGGGGCACCCCCTTTTGGTTAGTGTTAAAAAGGAAACCCATGGGACATTTTTTTTGCTTTTTTCGGGGGCGGGGGGATGATCATGTTCAGACAAACCCCTATATTTATTTTCCTGTGTAGTTTTTCAGCATCACCCTGGTGTCCCCTTAAATGGCTGGTTTACCTTGGTAGGGGCGAGGAAGGGAAACAGAGGGAAACCTGTTTAGTTCGACCAGCTTCAGTAGGCGACTTAGGGGGAATGTCACACCTAGACATGCAGCGGTGCAATTCCCGTTTCCTTTTCTTGTGCAAGCGGGTTGCTTGCTTCATCAACCACACAAGGTGTATTTTTGCTCATGGTCACTGGAGGTCATTGGCTGTTTTCTGTTTGGGGGCTTTCGTCGTTGGCTTATTGCTGTGTTTGGTCTTTGGCTTGTTTAATTGGCGGGTTGCTCCAAATTCGGTGCCTTACTGGGTCCATGGCCTGCTTCAGTATCCAACGCACATCCTGGCTGAGTCCTTTGGGATGTTCAACCAAGGAAATAGGGTCATACATAAAAGATTAGCAGTCCTATGTTCCAACTCAACGACTAACTAGCCTTGGTTAGTCGTTAGAAGTCCTTTGCAACCATGGTTGTGTCTAGTTGTATGTGGCTTAGTTAGGGTCATTTTCCTTATATGGGGGTTGATCAAAAGGTCCTTGCAAGGAGTTATGTATTCGGTGACCATTCGTCTTGGCTTAAATCCCGCCGCGAAAGATCGGCGATGGAGTTCGCGAAAGAAACTTATTTTTTCGCGAAAGATTCCGCGTTGAATTCTTGGAGGCATGCCTGTGCACTTACATATGTGCAGACCCCGCTCCCTTGTAGAGAGGGAGATACGCAGCACCTACACTTGCATTATTGGTTCCCTGCCTGTGTTGGGATTGGTGCAAATCAATAACGTTGGCTGGGCAATTTTGGAGAAAGTTTCGCGAAAGATCCGCGAAAGACCGGCGAAAGGCCAGGGAGCTTGTTGCAAGGTTCCGCGCATCGCCGGCAACCGCAAGTGGCAAGGGCGAATGACGGTGACTGCCTGCACTTGACACTACGTACTGCACGCAAGTGAACTGCGGCTACCGTGTTTGCAAGCACAACTGCAGCAGCCGCAATGGCTCCAGAGCGCACGCTGCAAACAAAAGGGCGTGGCGATGGAGTCGCGAAAGATTCGCGAAAGAAGCTTTTTTTCTCGCGAAGATGGCGTTTTCCGGAAACAGGAATATTGATCAACTGCCATATGCATGCTTATCACATACATAAACGGGGTGGTCATCCAAGCATTGAGGGTTTAGCGGTGCCCTTGTCTTGGGTTGGATCGTGACCTTGATTTTTGGTTTTGGGGGGAGGCAAGGCGTGTTTTGCCATACGCCAGTCAAAAGTTAAACCATTTCTCAGGTGGTGGTTTGGCTTGGGGGTTTTGGGGGATTTGAGCCCCTTGCAGAGGGTAAATGGGAAGCCACCCCT